GGATGTTCTGATTAAGGTTGGAGACTTTATTTTTCCAGTAGATTTTGTAGTTTTGGAAACACAGCCTGTTTCCAATCCCAAATGACAGACACCTGTCATCTTAGGACGACCGTTCTTAGCCACTTCTAATGCTCTCATTAATTGTAGAACTGGTCAAATAAAACTGTCTTTTGGGAATTTGACTGTTGATCTTAATATTTTTAATCCAGGGGACCAACCAAATAATCAGCCTCTAGAAATAAACTACATTCAGGAAAGATCAGAAGAAGAAGAAGAAGAAGAAGAAGAAGACTCTGATTTGAGTTTTGAGGAAATTTTTGTTGAAGAGTTAGAAATTTTAGAAGAAGCAGATCAGGTCCTTGAGAACAATAAAACTGTGTTAAACATGTGTTGTTTTGAATTGAATTTTGAAGAACTCTTTCTTGATGAACTTAGATTCTTGGAGAATAATCAACAACCAAATTTTTCAGAACTTCACAGAAGAATTGGTTGTTAGAAAACAATACTTCACAGTACAAGAGTCTAAGTTCATTAAGAAATACAAAATGCATGACACCAATAATACCTACCTTACCTTGTTGCATGAATTACTGAACACCCCGAAATGCTTGGAAATTCACATTATTAATTATATCATTCTGAATTTGTTTAAAATCCGGGGAAGAATTTTCAACAATAAGGTAGGATTCAATGTAGAACATGAACTCTTCATGTTGAATATTTCATTCTACATTGATTATTTTGTTTATTTCAGAATAATAAAAAGAATTTATTCTTCTCTTATGTGAGAGTTTCTTATTCAGTTTTCAAAAAAAAAAAAAAGAAAAAAAAAGAAAAAAAAGGAAAAAAAAAGAAAGAAGAATAAAATTTTTGTTTTCATCCTCCTCAGACTAAAGGTAATTGCAGATTTTTATCAACCGACCAAATGTAAGTGCTTCACTTCTTATCTGTTTTACTTTATGCATCATAGAGTTTGCATTGAGGATAATGCAAAAATTAGGTGTGGGGGTGGGAATTAGTTATTTTTTTCTCTTTATTTTACATTTTTAGTTACATTTTCCCCTTTTTCTCTTAAAAAAAATTATAAAAATATCGTCACTTGCCAAATTGATAGAGTTATGTAATAATTGATTTATTTGATAAATTTGAAATTTTCTAATCCCTAGTTAGTTATTTACTTAAGCTCACCTTTTATGATAACTCTAAATAATTTTCTTAAGAAATGATTTTCAAAGTAGTAGACTTTACTTAAGCCTTAACTTGGATTTTTATTTAAAATAATGAAATTTTTGCATGCCTAACTTAGAGTTAAAAATAATTTTTCAAAGTGTCTTGATTTACATATTTTTTTTCAAAATTCTTGATTTACATATTTTTTCAAAATATATATACATACAAAAAAAATTGCAAAAGAAGAGTGCGAAAAATGGGCACAAAAAAAAACTCTTGAATTCAAGATGATTCTATCTTATAAAGCCTAAGTTGACCGAGTAATTAAGCCCAAGGAGTATTTTCATACTTAATGACCTAAGTCCCATTTGGGTTGGGATCCATTGGCCCAAAACTCGTTAAATGGTCACTTAAAAAGCCCGTTAAAGTAGAAAAAAAAAATCACCAAGAAAGAAAGAGTTAAAAAAAAACTAATAAATGTTTTATAATTGTTATATGGTCTTGGAAAATATTTTAAATCAAGCAACTTGAAAATTATTTAAAACAAAGAGTTAGCATGTTACTTTCAAAACTTTTAAATTAAATTTCTAAGTTTGGCTTGGTTTTGTATTGCTACAATGAGAAGAATTTCTTGAAAATATATCTTAGAGTTATATATAAAAAATTGTTTTCTTGAGTGATAACTGGCTCCAATTAGATTATCTAAAAGTTATCAAGTGAATTTAGTTATTTACTGACTTCTTTAATTTGGCAAGTTGACCGAATTTTGTGGGTATATTCACTGCAAACCCTCACGAGACTACAACTCGTCCACTAGGGTAACCTAGGGGTTTAAAGGCTTGTTGTATGCGCTAAATACAACCGCGATTCCTGCGAAAGTGAGTTAGGATTTTCTTTTTATTTTCTTTGCTAGAGGACTAGCAAAAGTTTAGGTGTGGGGGTATTTGATAATCACATTTTATTACAATTTTATACCCTCATTATCTATTTTATATGAATAAATATACCACTAATAATTGTTTTTATCTTTTAATTGCAGGTTAATGAAGAATAAATCTCAAAACCCTCATCTCTCAACAAAAAAGCCCACAATTTAATGAAGAAATGAAGCCATGAAGCCCAATGAATTCTTTCAAGTATTTAATGAAGAGATAAATCAAAGCCCAAGCCCAAGAGTCCAAGAAAAGCCCAATGTCCAAAGCCCAAAAGCAAACAACAAGAAGAAGCTGCGGACAGCAAAAGGAGAAGAGCAGGCATCGATGCCTGCATCAATGGATTGAGAAGGCCTTCCAAAATTGTAACTTTAGTTGCAATTAATAATAATAATTTTTTCACCACTTTAAATTTTTCTCTTCTTCTCTTTGTTGGATGATGAAGATGAAGATGAAGATGGAGAATTATTTGAAGGTTTGCATTTCTTTTCTTTTTCTCTTTTATTGCTTATTAGTGTAGATTTATTTCTATGCTTGTAGTTTAGATTTTATTTTCTTGTTAAATAGCCAAGAGGCTAGAACCCTATTGCCTTAGATTTATTTCATGCTTATAGAATAGATTTATTTTCTTGCATTTAATTCTTGTAATTTTATTTTTAGTTTAGATTTTTGCAATTTATTTTGTAGTTAGATTTTAATTTCTTATACTATTCACCTTGAGGCTAGAACCCTCTTGGGTTTAGTTTTTCTTTTTGTTTATTTTTCTTTTTATTTGATTCGCCTTTAGGCTAGAACCCTCTAGGGAATCACCCTTTTCTAAGAAGTGGGTTCAATTTTAGATTACCCATACCTATAATTGAATCCACCATCTTTAATTTCTTGTATTTTCTTTTATTCTTGAATTTTGTTCGTCATTCTTGATTTTTTTATTTTTGTTTCTTGATTTTATTCATTTTTCCTTCTCACCTTATTGATCATACTCATTCTTTTTCAAATCCACTCTACTTACACTTTGCACCTATTCACACACCATTTTCACTCTCTCAATCTCTTCACAATCACATTCACTCATCACTCCTACTTGTCACGCACACAACATAAGAACTGATTTTATATTTTCTCCTACAAAACACCTTCATTGTGGGATCGATATCTTAAATACTATAACTTGACACGGTTGTGCACTTGCAACCTTTTTGATACATGTTTATGCCGCATCAAATGTTTTGCACAGTAATAGTCAGAGTGCGATATACTTGGCCAAGAATTCCACATTTCATTCTAGAACAAAGCATATTGGGCTTCGATACCACTTCATCAGATCTATGTTGGAAGACGACGTGTTAAAACTGGAGAATATTCTAAGAAGTAAGAATCTAGTAGATATGTTAACAAAGACGGTGACCTTTCAGAAACTAGAGTTGTGTGTAACTTCAGTTGGCCTTCATACATAGGTGATGAGGACGGAGCCACACAGGAGAAGGTGCTTGTTGAAATAGCCTGCTAACAGCGGTTTGGCCTCAAAGTAGGAGATTGTTGGTGTTGGGTGTAGCCCAAACCTCTGCAGGCGAGGAGCTTTAGGCGAGCTCCTCAGATGAGCTCGAAGGTGAGGTTGACGACTTCAGGTGAGGTCAGGCGAGCTCCTCAGGCGAGACGAGCTTTGCAGGTGAGGTTGAGACGACCTTCAGGCGAGTTCGAGTCGACGTTGCAGGCGAGATCGATGATCCAGGTGAGCTCGAGATCTACGCAGGCGAGTGTGGATGAGGACCAGGTAGGTGAGCTCGAGGCGAGCTCCACTTAGGTGAGGGTGCACGCAGGTGAGCTCCAGCGACAGCCTGTCGCCAGCCTGTCGCTAGGGTTTCCCTATAAAAGGGAAACCCAGAGCTCGAGCCCCGACGGGGCTTCTTCTTCTTCTCTCTCTCTCATGATTTTAGACCCAGTCGGCGGTGGCGGTTTCTCTCTCTCTCTCTCTCTACCCTTTTTATTTTCTCCAGCGCTCAACAGAGATTTGAGGGGAGGATTTAAGAAGGGAAGCATTGTAGGAGGTTGAGAATTAAAGAGGGGAATTTAAGAAGGGAATTATCACTGTAGCTACAGTGATAATTAGTATTTATTGAGAGATCTCAAGTTTGAGATCTGTTCTTACATTGTAATTTCTTTGATTAATAAGAAATTAATTGTGTGGCTCCCGAGGACGTAGGCAAGTTTGTCGAACCTCGTTAAATCTTGGTGTACTTTTCTCTACTGTGTTTTTCTTGCTTTTTTAGGGGTTTAGCATAGCCCCGGGTATTTCCCAACATCTTCATGTTTTCTCCTTTAGAATATTTTCAAGGGTTAATTGAGTAAATGGAGTCGAGTAGAACATTCTTGAACTGCACCTTTGAAGACTTGATTGTGGAGAGGAAGTAGAGCTTGGCTACATTGATGACATGAGACATTAGAGTTTTCCATGTAGCTTATTTAGATACGGCGACTTGAACCTTGATGTTTAGTCATAATTGGTAGGAAAAAGAATTAGGCTGCAATTGTCAGGATAGTAATGTCTTATAAAGATTAGCTTCCTTCGACTTATAATATCCAATTAGAGAGCTAATTATTGTCCTTCTGGATCAATAATCCTGATAGTCCTCAACTGCAATCTGAAGAATGTTATGTCTTAGAGCAAATCTTATCCTTCCGAAGATTCTTCAGAACATAACATTGTCAAACTGTGTATTTTCAGAAGCTAATTTAGCCATTTTAAAGCTTGATATGGTTGCTATTAATGAAAAGCATACATGGTGTAAGCTATTCATAGGGTTAATCGGAATGATTAACACTTAAAATTGCCTTTAGTGGTCCAATAATTATGGTTAGTAGCTGCAAACAGTGAATATCAATTGACAACATGTACTACTTTCGAAAAAGTTTTAGAGCTGGCGCCACAGTCAAAAATGAGTTAACCAAGCTCACCAAATTTTTTTATACAGGCATAAATTATTAAGGTACATCAATCCTCAAGGAGCAGTAGCGTCTCCTCTATAAATTTCAAGATTAGCCAAACAGCTAAAAATGCCAGTTGCATCACCAATCAATGATCGCAGGGATAGCATTTTTTTGCTTCATGTTCACCAAAATAAGTACAGAGCCATTAAGCTGGACAGCACGAACCAGGTTGTGCTATGTGTGATACCCTTCTTGTTGCCTCCGGAAAAGGCTGCAATATCATTAAAATGCCGAACAATGTTACAACCTTAAAAGACTTTTGGTAGATGCCAAGGAAAATGTGGTACACTCATGAATCACTATATCAAGTAGTTTGGTAGTTGTAAAAGTAAAAGGCAATGGACCAGTATCTGAAGTAGTTAGTCAGAAACTTGTAGGAGTATTTGGGAAACCACCATGATAACGTAGATGTCATTTTCATCCTCTAGTATGCTAGGCTATGGAAGGAGTAAAAAGGAGAGGAGAGGAAAACAGTGTTGAAGAAAACATAGTTGAATGATTTTGTTGGTTTAGAACGTACTTCGTATAATATCTCTTGTTTAAGTAATAACAAACTCTCATTTGTTACTGATGATTGTTTGAGATGATACATTTCACGTATAAATAGGTATATGAAAGGCACGAGGCGAAATGATGCAAAAATTAACATTCATGTTGATTTCAACCATCACACCATTGATGGTCATGAGAACACCATCGATAGTCATGAATCAATCGATGGATTACAGTGTATAATCGGAGAAAAAACAGAAATAGGAATCACACCATCGATAGTCTACAGGGAACCATTAATGGTCAACTATACAATTGATGGACTACAGTGCACATTCAATAATTTCTAGAAACCAGATTTCAGCCCATCGATGGTTAATAGGGTCACTATCGATGGTGCATGGGGAACATCGATGGTCGAAATTGACCATCGATGGTGACAACACATTTTGGCAGATTTTGTGATTTAAGATAGGAAGAGATCATATTTTACATAGGTTCTTGCATTAAGAAAAGGAGAGAGACTTTATTCTAGGAATTGTGTGAGGAGTTGATTTGTGATTCAATCCCATGAGCCTCATCAAACTCTTTCTCATCGCGCTCAGTATCTTTAGATCGTCTTGGTGAGGAGAGTTGCCCATGGATTTAACATCATCACCACTTCTTCACCGAGCTTCGCTTTAATTCTTTTGAAGAATGATTTGCTTAAAAAGGGTTGTAAGAACTTTTTAATTTGCGCTTAATTGTTGGTTTGTGTTATCTTATTTTTATGGCATACCAAGCCAGTGATAATTAAGGGTTGGGACTAACTAAGACTATGTGTTACTCATCTGTGGGAGTTTTATTAGACGATTGGTTTCAGGTAGATTTCAGGGTGCGGTCTTTGTAAGCCTACCGATTTAGTTGAATTCTAGTCATAGTGAGAAAGTCCCTTCGAGAAAAGGAAGAGTGGATATAGGATCTCTATTCAAACCACTATAAAATCTTATGTGTTCTCTGGTTCGTGATTGGTTTGGTTTTTCACTTTTATTTTGATATTATTTCCTTTTGCAAAGTATCTTTGTTTTGGCAAAAATCTGTAGTAACATGGATGTAACCGGGAGAGCAAGAAACACATCAAAGTCGAAGCAGAGACAGAAGACAACTAACTAGAAATTTAACACAAAATGGTTTAAGCTAATGATCCCCAAATTAAGAGGGCGGAGATTAAAACTAAATTACGAGCATGTATTTGTACCTGGAGGCGCAGCAGGAGGAGGAAAATGAGACGAAACTGGAGGAGCAGCCGGAGCCCCAGCTACAAGCATGAAGAAAAATTCAGCAGAAACAAGAAAATAATTAGTAAGAGGTAATTAAAAAGATCTATACTGGCTAATAATATTACCAGGTGAAATTGAGCAGCTGCTGTTAATGGAGAAGGAGAGGACTCCACAGTTCTTTGGCAGCTGAAGAACCGAGTTGAGGTCAATGTTGAAACTTTTGAGGAACTTCTCATCTTTAAAGATTGAGCAGAGGCAAGGAAGATCGTTGGTCAGTTCGTCCTTGAGTGGCTTGCAGCAGCTCTCTGGGGGTTGCGTAGAGTTCAGATACGCAGCGCAAGGCACCAGCTTTGTCACGCACTCAGGGATTTTCTGTGCAGACCCTGATACAAGCAGCAAAGCTATTAACATCACCATAGCCATAGTATTCTTCTGAAGAGAGAGAGCCATTTCTTTTCTGTTCTTTTTTGATATATATAAAAGATAACGACGAGAATGTGTTGCTTGATATATATTTGTAGGTGCAGCCTGTAGCCTGTAGGTGGCAAGGGTTAATCTACCTTGTTCTCATATGATTTTTCCAAGTGTTTTATTGTCATCTCTGGAATTTTCTAGGTCAAGTCATTATTATAATTAGCTGTTCTTGTTTGAATCTTTTTTCCAATTCCAAATAAGGACTTCAATTTACCGACCTCTACCATAGACATTTCCATGGCAATTTTCTGTAGCCATTTTTTTCTTTTTTGATAACGAAACCAACGATGAGAATGCAAGAAGTTAATCTTCTCTTCTCCCTTCTCCTATCTAGAAGCTGTTGACCGTTATATACAGTCATAGCCATAAACTGTAGCCTATAGGCGGTAATTATCAATCTTCTCTACTGTCTTGTGTTTTTTTTTTTTTTTTTAGCCATAAACTGTAGCCTATAGGCGGTAATTATCAATCTTCTCTACTGTCTTGTGTTTTTTTATTTATTATTTTAATTTTTAATTTTTTATCTTTTATCTTTTTTCTTTTTTGGAAAAATTGCTTCAAGGCCCCAAAAGTAAAGATTCAATGTGCAACAGCCCCTTGTACTTTTACCCCTTTGTATAAACCCAAAATACAATGTAAAATTGTATTTCAGCCCCCCAACTCAGCAAAATGAGCTGTAAATTTCTAAAACCCGACTCTACCTTTCCCACCCACATCGCCATAGTTTACGAGTGTTGGTAACGGCACCCGCCCACTCCGCAACTCACATCCTCTCTCTCTCTCTCTCTCTCTCTCTCTCTCTCTCTCTCTCTCTCTCTCTCTCTCTCTCTCTCCTCTCTGCCCCCTGCACTCTGTGTCTTTCCCTCTCTATAGCTAACAGGAACCGGCAAAATACCCAAATATCCACTCTAGGGCTTGCTCGAAATCAGCAGAAGATGGGAAAAAATCGATGAAGGTCACCGTCCTCCTCTTCCGCTGCAACATCAGGAATCTACACCGACGAACGACGAGCGACAAGACTCGCCTGCGTCGACTGGTGAAGATCCCCCTCGCCTTCCAAGAATTACGAAGATCCCTCTTTGCCATCTAAGACCGACAGTGGTACCGCTTCTCTCCCATCCTCCTCCCCCTCCAAGACTTCGTCATCCCATGCGTCATCATCAGGTAATGGCAGCACTGATGAAGCCACCCAGACCCTGTTGGGCATGCAAAAGGGATTACCGAGAAAAAGAAAAATTACAAGTTCACAACAAGCACCAAAGAAATTCATAAAGAAGTAAGATGATGTTAGATTTTCCATTTTAGATAGATGTTACAGACTAATGTTGGTGCATTGTGAACTATACAGAACATGCGTTAAGTTTTATTGGTGGATAACAAGTCTGGCTATTGTTTGTTACAGTGTTTAACATAACTGTTACATTTTATTGTTGCATGTTAACTTTTGGCTGTTGGATGTTAACTTAAGTGAGGCTGATGTTAAATGTTAAATTTTAATACAGAAAAAAGTCTGGTGCTGCTGCTGAAATTAGACCTACAGCTAGTTTCAGCGCATATACTGATTTTATGAAAGTCCTCGAATCGAGAATGCGCGGCGGTGTCACTGGGATGCATACGGAGGGTGTACATTCCAGCATTATGTAATATTTAGCCCCCCAGCAGTAGATCGACCCATGCTGGAACTTGTATTGAGTCACTATGTAGGAAATAAAGTGGCGTTTTCTCTACCCGATGCTGAAAGTGGGAGAGAAAAGATTGTTAATTTTGATATGAACTGGGTTCATGAACACACAGGTTTCCCAATTGATGGGAAAATAATTTACGGTAATAGAGATCTTTACCTTAGGATTTGGTTGGAGTATTTTGCTGACTATTTTACTAGAAGTGAAAAAGAATCAGCAAAGAATATGCGGCGATATGTGGAAGGGCTACTAGAATCTCTTGTTGAACCAACAAAGAAGAAGGATATTAAGGATTTTGTGTTACTGCAGATACTTTATCAATGTTCGATGATGTGGTGCTCTAGCAGTGTGCAAGACATCCCAAGGCTCTTGTTCAAATATGTTGATTGCATTGAAAGAGTAAGGAATGTGGCCTGGGGGAAATACATTTATGATCAGATGAAGAAAGGAATTAAGATTGCTAGGGAAGGTCTAAACAAGCCAGGAGTTAGCTATGTGCCTGGATGCATCCCTCTGATCCCTGTAAGTTGTATTAAAAATTTTCTATTGTTGTGGTTAACCTGTGCATGGGAACGTTTGCCTGTATGCTATCTACTTAAGTTAAAAGTAATTAAGGTTAATTGGTTCATGTTAACTATATTAAGGTGCTCGTTAATTATATTCATGTTCATGTTAACTATATTAATGTCAGTGTTAAAGTTTGTGTTGTCAGTGTTAACTATATTTTAGTTCAGTTATGTTATCTATATTCATGTTTAAAAGATTGGTACTATTTGTTTACAGCTCTGGTACTATGAAATAACGGGGATTAGAAGATATGCCCTGAGCAATAGATTCAAGTCACCCTTCACTAACTGGGTGATGATCGGTGAGAAGTTTGGATCTATCCGAAAGGACACAATAGTTGCCAAGACTGAAAAAGCTAGCATTACTGTTGTACAGAAACCAATTGTTGAATTTGACCCATGGGTAGAAAAATATCCACTCAGAAGGCCATTGATGAGGGAAGCTGATTCAATGAAGGTTAGAAGTAAAGGGATTCAACCACGCCTACTACTCGTAGCAAAGAAGCAGATATAGTCTTCGCCGGGAAAATTTAGGAAGGAGAAGAAAGCAGCAGATAGGAGGATGAAGATTGGATAAGAAAAGAAGGGTGAAAAAAAGGAAGAAGAGAAGGAAAATAAGAAGAGACCATCAATAGGTTTGGTAAGTTCTCAGATTTCATGTTAATAATTAGCGCATACATGTGAACTGTCTGGATTTAAGTTGTATGTGTTAACTGTAGGCCTTTAACTGTTAACCTTTATAAAAAACATGTTAACTATTTTTTTCTAAATTATAGATTATATCAAAAGCCATTGATGATTCTTTCCAAAGGAAATATGAGATTGAGGCGTTATCATTTGAGGAGCAGCTGAAATTTTAGAAAAATGCTGATAAATTAAACTAGAGAATATGTCGTGCATTGAGGGTCTCCAAGAAAATATATTGTCAAACCTTCATGAACGAGATTTTATACTTAACGAAAAAGTTAAGGGGTTGGAGGGATCTGGTGACATAGTAGATCCTGAAGTTTTAAAGGACAATGTAAAGAAGCTTATTGCACATCAGAAGAAAGGAATAAAAACCATGGATGAAGAGGACAGGCAGGAGGCCGATAGAGAAAACCTTAATAATGAGTTCGTATTTGAGAACGAAGAGGACAAGAATGAAGAGAGAGATGATAAGAGCAATAATGAAGAGGCCAAGCAGTTGGTTGAGAATAGATCTGATTTGGCAGAGGAGACAAAATTTTAGACATGCGAAGATGTGCATACGACTATGCAGGAGGAGGAAGGTGGGCCTGAGGATATTCCACTCAGCAATATCATGAAGAGGTCGAGGAAGACGGTGAGTAAAAAATATGTGGGTTATAGGAGTAGAGCTCCAAGCACAAGAGCAACCAAGAAAAGTAAACTGGTTGCATCACCGTTCACCGAGGAAAAGAAACCAAAATCTAAGGAAGAGGGCACAAAGATGAACCAATTGTTGTCAGTGACAAGGTTAACAAGATAACAGTTTATCATGATGATAGCGTTGCCAAGTGGGACTTGTTAAAAAGCTCGGATTTGATTGATGTTGATCATGCTGCTTTAAAGGAGGTGAATGAGGATATTCCTGATGTAGGCACGTTTAGTTTACGTGTGTTGGATAGAGATGGGGCTTTTATACATAACTACAGAATACCAAGCGATGTGCCAGCTAAACTCACAGCTGAGGAGAATAAATGGCTCACGCATTACTACAACCAGAAATGTAGCCAGTAAGTGCTGATTTTACATTATTAAGATTTTAACATTTAGTATTTTAATGTTAACTCTCTTCAATAAGTTGTGAATGTTACTAGCTGCTTGTTATGTTTCAGCGTTTACATGTCAACTTTCATGATTTAGCTGTTAACCCTCTGCTATAATTTGTTATTCTGAATGTAATGTGTTATGTTTTAGTTCTTAGATGTTAACATGGTGCACTATAGCTTTTTAACCCACAGCCTAACTATAATTTATTGCTTTTAGGCACATGGATGTCATCGTAACAGATAACAACACGATTACAAGGACGAAACTACTCTATTTGCTCTGAGGGGGAAGGCTCGATGACAAAGTAACATAATCTTTAAGCACGTTACATATTGAGTGAGTCAGTCATTATGATTTGAAAGAGTAACATTTGTATTTTTATTATAGGTAACCGAGACGATCTTAGACAGATTACGGTCATGGTTACAGTTGCCTGAAAACATTGTATTAAACAAGCAGTATGTGATCGTGTCATCATTTTTCTGCATAAGATTGTTACTCAAAATACTCAACTTTATATGTTACAGCGGTCGGGTATCACGTTACAAATTATAGTTAACATGCGGATGACTTTTACATTTAACATATCTGCTGTGAAAGTTATCAGTTTATAAATAATAGTTAACATACAATCTACAATAGTTAACATGCAACCTACAATAATTAACATGTTATCAACAATAGTTAACGTGTTAACAATAATCGTTAACACGTTAACTATAACAGTTAACACGTTAACTATAATAGTTAACATGTTAACTACAATGGTTAACATGTAAACTATTGTTGTTAACATATTAACGGTTATTGACTTATTGACTTATTTTTGTAAATATCACTTCTGCTTATTGACTTATTTTTGTAAAACAACATTCACTCTATGGTGACCGTCCTCATCTGCAGTAGCTATATGAAGTATATATACAGCATCATATTGCCGCTGACCGATCAATACT